CCCCCCCCCCCCCCCCCCAAACTCACCCGAAAGTAGCAGACCCTTCAGGGCGACGGCCGCGCCCAGGCCCTCTTCGGGCAGCTCGCGGATGGCGTTGCCGGTGAGGTCGAGGAGCGACAGAGACTCTAGGGAGAACAGCTCGGGAGGCACGGAGGACAGACGATTCTTGCGCAGCTTCAGGGACACGAGGACCGACAGGTTGGACACCTGAGGCATGTTATCGTGTCCGCGCCGCCGCCGCCGCCGCCGCCCCGTACATAATCGTGCGGAAATTAACACCATCACGTAGACGGGCGTGCGTAAGAGTGCCAGAGCGATAGCGGCGGTCGAAACGAGAAAGAAAGAGAAACGATGATAGGGCATGAAATACTTGGTGTTTAACAGTCACGCCAGCGCTACATATTCCAGAGTTAATATTCCAGAGACGAGAAAAGTTGGGAACGAATGCCCTTTTCCATGAGAGTGTTTGTTCTGCGTGTTTTTATTTTATTTTATTTTTTTCAGTTTTGGGAACGCAATATGGAACACGCAACATGGACCGCCGCGTGATTGTCAAACGGGTTTTTGTGCTCGTCAACGCCGGGAACGTACAACAACACGTGGGAACAGGAGAGGCACGCCACCACAGCCACCACAGCCATCACCAACACCACCACGAAGATCGCGACCAAGGTCCGAGACGCGGCACCTCCGCAAACACATCAACAGCGATGACGACAATGGCGGCACGAACAAGCACAGAGCTTCAGAACCCCTATTAGCAGGGACGACGGCTTCACGACCGTTGTTGCCATACTGTACTGTACCACCATCTGGCCTGTCGATCCGAAGCGAGACAACTGATACACACGACACGCAGGATTGAGCCCGGGACACATGGTTGTACCACACACTCATCATCAGTGGGTCATGAGGGATTTTTTTTTTTTTTTCTCCCATCATTGGATTCTGTTGTCTGCCCCTCTGGCCCCTATCCTCCACTTCTACTAGCTAGAGGACCCAACCGGGGTCACATAGGAGGGGGGGGTTGGACCCCCTCCTGATACATACAAGTCGGAACGCCCATCCTCGGGCAGCGAAGTGGGTATGTGGCGAGTTTTAAGTTTTGTACAGCATCAGCACCAGAGGTACAATCAAAGAATTCGCCTGAGTATTGTAACCTGCGGAACATTTCGGGTACATCGCATCGGGGGGCCAATAAACCGTCATGCACCCAAGTCTCTATTCCGTGGTAAGGAGCCTGAGCCGCCACGGCGCCTTATTATCGGAAATACTAATAATAGGTTTAATAAACTTAAAAAAAGTGTCGTGTCTACAGCAAGTAGTGTTGCCTGTACACACCGCGGCGGGCAGCTCGGTGATCTGGTTGAAGCTGAGGTCGAGCCGCTGCAGCTCGCACGCCTCCCAAAACTTCTCCCCGTCCGCAGCGTCGACGCCATCTTGAACCCCAAAACATCATAAACATAGGGCAGGAAACACGATCAGGCGCCAGCATGAGCAACATTGTTCTTGTCCTTGTTGTTACGTTGTGTCTATGTTGCTGTATCAAAATGCATTGATCTCTTTTCTTCCAGCCGGTGTGATTTTTTTCAACGGGTCTAAACATTCAGCAAAACTTGTTAGGTTGCTGTCTTACATCAAATATCATTCCGGTCGACCTACAAGTCAGTACCGGTACCTTTAAATATGCAACGTACACATCTATATATATGCTGGCGCCGAAGGGAGCGCGCATCGACCACCTTTGGATGAACTTCCGCGCTGCAAGCAGTATCAAACACGCAAGAGACAGCAGCGAGCCAAGGGTGCCTTGCCTAAGAGACGACACGGGATCATCTGGACGGATGAACACATGGTGTCGGTGTGCTGTAGCGTGATGTTCGCCTCGAGGATGACGCTGGTTTTACGTTGATCGCGACTGGGACTGGAAGACATACCGTAGTGACCAGACCCGCTGTAAGAGTTCGATGTTTTTTGTCTTCACTTCAAATCCATGTCTACGGTAAAGTAAGCAGGCTACGGACGGTGGGTGTTCGCCAACTTGGACGCTTGGACCCATCGTTCACGTGCTTTATCGAATGTGCTACTAAAACAAAGCACGTGCCTATAGACGGTGATCCCATCTGCAGATTCATCAATTCTCGTACGTGTCGGCTGCCGTTCAACGCCTCTCTGAGCATAGGTATTGTGCCAGCTGGTGTCGTGAAGCAGTAGGTACGTGAGATACAGGCAAGACGATACTGCTGTAACTTATACGACACGAGATAACGCACCCTCTGGACCGATTTTCAAAGCTCGATTTCTCCACAGCAGAAACAGTGGGGGTGCCAACAATGGCGGCGTTGAAACCGTCTCGTCGAGAGCTTCCCGAAAATGTATCGTTTCGTTTATGCATCCTCTTCGTCGCGGCGCAATGGAGCTTTGAAAATCGGTCGAGGGGGGTCGTTATCTTATGCAACCTACGGTAGATGCGGCGGCGGGTGTTTTCCTATTCGTTCGAACAGAGGATACGACCCAAGCCATTACAGCAGTGCTCGATGCACACAGCACTCACCAAGGAGATTGAAGACTTGACCGGGGACTTCCTCCAGGCCCTTGGACGTCAGATTCAGCGACCCCGAGGATCGGGCCTGCTTGAGAAGCTGCTGCAGAGAGGCAGCCGAGGGCGCGGCGGCGGAGGTGACCTCAAACGCTGGAGACCGCCTGCCTCTGCCTCTCCCCGCTGCTCGCATTGCTTGCACGACGCTCTGCCTCTCCCGGCCCCCGCCCCTCGCCGAGGATGTCGCCGTGCCTCCTCTTCCTCCTCCCCCTCCTCTCCTCGCTCTTCCTCGAGCCGATGATAGTGACGCCATTGCTCTGTCTCGTCGGTTACGACGATGATGATGCACTCAGCTCTCAGCTGACGGTTGACACTTGTTCTGAACCAAGGTGCTTTTTTGCTCCACAGCAGCAACTCGAAGAGCGGAATCAACAGGATATACCGAAGCTTTTGGGGTTGGACCACACAGCAGCAAAGCACAACAAGTGCACGTGGAAGGATCCTGCTCCTTGTGGTATGCTGCTGAAGGCTGTGCACTGCTGTGCACTTGGATTTACTGCACTCGGACTTGCTTGTCGTTGTGTGTGGGAAGCCGTCTTGGTGGGCTTGGCTTGGAGTGCACCGTATATCATGATGGTTTGGATCCGGGTATGTACCCCTCACGATCGGCGCCCCCGATGCCGCTGCTGTCTGATTGGCCAGCGATGCCAAGATTGACCAATCACACACAGGCGGGGGCAGGCCCAGAGCGCTCTCTCTCCCCACAACGACTGCACACAACGCGTGCCTCGCGGGGGACTGAGCACAGAGACCGGACAGGACAAGAGCACGGCACTATCGTGTGCAGCTATCCCAGGCTGGATATCTGAGACCGCTTGGCGAGCACAATTTTTTTGCAAAATTGGGGTTTGGTTTTGGGGTTGCCCCCCGCTGCTGCTCAGCGGATAAGGCCGCCGCCCAGGGTATACCCGTTGCTGCTGCTGCGGAGAGAGGCAGCAGCAGCTAGGCAAGATGGACTTCAACCTCATACGCGAGCACCTGCTGGGTGTCGACCTGAACAAGGGTCTGCAGGTGGGTGTTGGTGCGGGGCGTCGCGGGTGTGGCACCGCCAAGTTGGGTGTTGCTGCTCTAGACCCGGATTGGGTTGTACAACAGCAGCAGGAAAGAGAGAGCGGGACAGCACTAGTCTAGACTGCTGTAAGGACACCGCCTTGCTGGTTCTCTCGTGACGGATGTCCTACCGACAGCTTGGTCTCTCTGGTGTGCGGAGCCTTCGGTATGCGAGTCGTCTCCTGTTGATGTTGGTGTGGGAACGTCGCTGTGTGCTGCTGGAAACAACGCGCTGCGATAGCGAGGTTGATCGCATCTCATCATCGTGCGCTTTTTCAAAAGGATGCCGCGGGGCAAGCTACGCCGCAGCCTTGTACTCGCCTATCGTATCTCTCTTGTACCATACACCGCAGCCCCTTGTGATTATCGTACGCAAAGGCTTTGTGTTTCTCTGTGTCATTCCCCTGCATTGCGTTGCTTCTTCTGTTCATCGCTATGTTATGCAATCGATCTGTGTGTGTTTGCGCGTGCCCTCTCCCACAAGTCTCTCTCTCTCTCTCTGTTCGTCAACCGCATCTCCTCTTGTCGCCCTCTGTTCCAGCTGTGGGTGCAAGTACTGACAACCACCTTCTACCCCTTCGGCTGTCTCGGCGATCTCTTCCTTCGTCCGACCGCCCTTGCTTTTGCTTGTATACCGTTATCGTAAATATCTACTGCTGTACCACTGCTGCTGTTTGCACTGCTGTACCAGGCCGCGGCGGATCTCCGCGAGCGCATGGAAATCGTCCACACCTCCGAGTACCCGAGCTTCATCAGCAGCCTCTTGCGATGCTTCGTGGAGCTGCTCAGGGACAGGCTAACGCCCCAGGTACACTCACAACGGATCGTGTTTCGAACTTGCCCACCTGAATGCGGAGCGGAAATCTCGCGCACTGTACATGTACTGCGGAGGTAGAGGCAGAGCAAAAGTAAGGGCGGACATGTCAACTTCACGTACTGCTGTAGCGAGCCAACAAGAGGTATCGACACAAGAATAGGATACAGCAGTAGACGACGAGAGAAGGTACCACCAGTAGTGTCCCTCTTGCGTACAGCAGTAGAGAGGTAGAGGCAGAGCAACAAGATGGATGAAGTACGGTAGATATATCAACAAAATGTATGGAGGTACCGTAGAGATGCCAATCTATTCCAAGTAGCGATCGCCCCACACAAGGTACGACACGAAAGTAAATAAGGAGCCGTAGACTAGATGATGAGAGAAGGTACACTTGAAAGGTGTTTGTTCACCGTAAGTCTCGGTCATCAATCGCCGGCTTCGAGAGGGGGGCGCTTCGTCAATGATAAATACTACAGAGGGTACAGAACGCGCCAGCGCTCAGGAAACTCTTGTCTTGCGCGCAGCCCTCGCGCCTTGTGTGATCATGAGTATAGGGAAACCACCCGGGACCATATTGGTTCTAGTGTTGCATTCTGAAGTGCACACCTGTTCTTACGACCACCTTCGTAAGAACTGTCTCTTTGTAAGCCTGGGTTTGTCTACCATGCATTTATTTTGTAAGCGGCGGCACGTCCTGTGTGTATTGCGCGAACCGTTGGTGTGTACAAGTTCCAAGCAGCGAGCGACATCTTCCATCTTCCTCCGCATACAACGTGCCCCAAAAAAAAAAAAAAATATATATATATATGGTACAAGTGCCAAACATTATGCGATGACATCTTTCATTTTTTCCGCTTTGTCCGTCTCTCGCTCGCACAATACAAACGTGTCCTGTACAAGTCCCAAGCAACAAGCGATGACACCCTCCATCGTCATCCTCGTACAACGTGCCCCATGGTAGAAGTGCCAAGCAATAAGCAGTGACATCTTCCATCTTCCCCCCCTTTGTCCGCCTCTCGCTCGCACAATCATGGTACAAGTGCCAAGCAATAAGTTCTGACATCGTCCATCTACCCCCCCCCTATTCGCCCCCTCGCACGCAGATGGTCGACAACAAGATCAACAAGTTCCGGCACGTTATCCTAGAGATCCTGCACCGCCTCCCCAACAACGAGGTCCTCAAGCCCCACGTGCAGGAGCTGCTGCTGCTGGTGATGAAGGTCGTGGACACCGACAACGAGGACAATGCCATCCAGGGCCTGCGTGTGGTCTTCGACCTACAGAAGAATTACCGACCGCAGCTGGAGTCGGAAGTGCCGCGATTCTTGCAGGTGGGGGGGGGGGGTGCTACCCGGCCTGCCCAGCGAAAAATTATTGGGGAGTGAACAGATGAAGATGTGATTCGTGTAGAGAGTGGCTGGTAACACTGCACATAGTCGCACAAGTAGCTTGCACGTGGGGGGGGGGGGGATGATGTCCGGTGGAAGGAGGGCCACAGCAGCAGCCATTGCATCTTGGGATAAATGTTACCATATGAAACTGTCGGGAAAATGTAAAAAGAAAAAAGACCACTGTCTGGTACCGCAACCTGTCTATCTTTGCCGGTGTATGTCACGCACGCCTCCCGTTGACTCCAACAAGCCCCCCTCATCGACCCCCCCCGGTCCCCCGTCCCCCGGAAACAATATTTGGTCAACAACATGTACTAAATACTAACAAACCCACCCCGGCCCAACCCCCGCTAACAACAGATGGTGAACAACATCTACCGGCAGCTGGGTCGGAGCGTCCACCAGATCTTCGGCCCGGAGGGGATCAAGACCGCACAGCAGGTCGCCGAGATGACCGCCCGTAAGCACGCCCAGCAGGCCGCCGCCCCGGCCCCGGCCTCCGCGGACGGCACGGCGGCGGCGGCGGCGGCCGCCGAGCCGCCGGCGATCCCGCTCCTGCGCAGCAAGGACTCGTTCAAGGTGTTGACCGAGTGCCCGCTGATCGTCATGCTGCTGTTCCAGCTGTACCCCAAGTACATCAAGGCCAACATCCCGGACCTCATCCCGCTGATGATCGACGCCCTGCGGCTGGCGCCGACCCTGCAGCGGGGGAGCGATGGCGTGCTGCCCGTGTGTCTGCGGGCGCGGTACAAGGAAATGATCGCTTGCCAGGCACGTGACTGTTTCATGGTCTGGTCGGGGTTGGACTTGTTGTTTTGGCCAAGGTGGAATTGGATGAGGCGCGGTACAATGAGATGGGTGTTTTGTCGTCGGGTTGGGTGGTTGGGTTTGTCGTTACGACTAACGTGGAGATGTGGGTTATATTTGTTGCTTCAAGCACGGCTCCAGTCGCTGTGTACGTGTTGTGCCAAATGCTGGGTCTTCGCCTGGCCGAAATGGTGAGTGATGACCCCGAGAATTCGGTTTGAGTACAGCAGGATTAAGTCTTGACGCCCAACCTACTGCTTTTTCTCACCTCTTTCCTCTCGCTTACCCGCCCCTCCCCCCCCGCTCACGCGCTGATGTCGCCAACCACACCACAGGTGAAAACCCTGAGCTTTCTCACGTACCTCCTGCGGGGATTCACGCCCCTGATGCAGCCGTACGAGAAACAGATATCCTCGAGCGTGATCAACCTGCTGAGGAGCTGCCCTTCTGACGCGGTTGCCACGCGGAAGGAGCTGCTAGTGGCGACGCGGCATATTCTCGCCACGGAGTTCAGGAAGGGATTTTACTCGGAGGTATTCTGCGGAGTATGTATGTGTTCTATACCAGGTGTTAGAGCAACGTCATTCCAATTGCGTCCGTTGAAATGTGTCCATTGTGTCCGTTGAATTGATTACTTTGAACATATAGGATGTGTCCGTTGAAATGGGTTTGTTGAAATGGGTCCGTTGAAAATGGGTTCGTTGAAATGACTCCGTTGAAACGGGTTCGTTGTAATGGTTCCGTTGAAACGGATCCGTTGTAATGGTTCCATTGAAATGGGTTCGTTGAAATGATTCCGTTGAAATGGGTTTGTTGAAATGGGTCCATTGAAAATGGGTTCGTTGAAATGATTCCGTTGAAAGGGGTTCGTTGTAATGGTTCCGTTGAAATGGGTCCGTTGAAATGGGTCCGTTGATTGCGTTTGTGTCTCAGCGCTCTCTCCCCGGCGGACGATGAAGATTTCGGATTTCTTTCTTAGGAAATGCCTGCTATCTCGCAGGATTTATTAATTTCGTATATTCGTTTTTCTTCTAGAAATTTCTTCAACAAATTTATTATCGAACAACGGTGCTGAATTTTGAACCGACCCAATCCTATACTACACCAGCTGTAGGTCTGAACTTTTTTGTTTTTGGTACTGAAACAGACAGGCTTGACCACATGTCCTTGGACAGTATTAATAGTGGTATTATCTTGAACGGGTATTATAGCCTCTCTTTGATCCTGTGATATATATTTCCTCTCAGAAACAATGCCTCGTTTCTCGCGCCATGTAAACACGCACATGGTACACAGGTTGACCGTATGCTGGACGAAGACCTCTTGGTCGGACCCGGACGTCAAGCGCGCGACACGCTGAGACCTCTCGCCTACTCCACCCTGGCCGACCTCGTCCACCACGTCAAGGATCGCATCGACCTGGACCAAGTCTCCCGGGTGATTCAGGTTCGGATCGACGAATCGTACAGTAAATGTGTCTAGCGGCGTGATTCTGGCTCGGATACATGATGGCTCGGATACATGAATGTTTTGGATATTTCGAATGGCGTGATTCAGATTCGGATGTTTGGATGTTTGGATGGCTCAGGCGGCGTGATTCAGGTTCGGATGGATGGAGGTTTTGGATGGTTCGAACAGCGTGTTTCACGTTATGATGGATGTTTGCATGGTTCGAGCGGCGTGATTCAGGCTGGGATGGATGGGTGTTTGGATGTCAATTGAGCGGCGTGATTCTGGTTTAAGATGGATGGATGTTTGGATGTTTATGCGGCGCGTGGGTCGGTGTCCAGCACGCGCCGCGCGCCGCCCGCAATTAAGAGAAAGCCTGCTGCAGAAAGAAGGATAGGCCGAGATTGTCGCGAAGAACAAAGAAAAGTGGCGGGTTTTACGCTATTTAAAATTCTAATTCTGTAGAACCCTGCTCCCGAAAGTGAAGAGGAAAGAAATGGGCCTCGTCCTGTAATAAGAAAAAATAGTAAGCCTCAACCTGGAATACGAAAAATAATATTAGTGTCGACCCGGATAAATAAGAAACATATGACGTTTTCTCCGCGCGCCTGCTGCTGAAACGTGTTTGTGCCTGTTTCTGAAGTGATTAATTTTTGGTCAAGTGTGTTTTTACGTCGTGTCCAGGGCCGGTGAAATGGCATGGCACACACGGAATATTCAAGTATGTAGTCTTATCCTCTGGATAGCGCGTCGGTGTGCGGTAAAAGGCCGGCTAATGCCCTTTGCACCTCAAATATATAGCCTTAGCCCTGGCACTATTCGGTCTTGTACGGACACCGCTCGGCAGTGGTAGTCAGGCGAGAATAAATCATTTCCCTGTGCTTGCTCTGGGCACAAAGGTAGAGCATTGTCCTATCCCATACACGATTGATCATTTCGTGTTTCTTTCGGTTGTCTACATGACGAAACCGGCGTTTTTCCTGCTGTGCTCTCGCTTCTTTTTTCAGGTGTTTTCGAAGAACATCCACGACCCATCGCTCCCGATCCCGATCCAGACGACGAGCGTTAGGCTCCTGCTCAACCTAGTGGACTACATCTTCCACAATGACGACCCGGACCTCCAGCGGGGAAAGAAGCTTCTCCAGAGAGTTCTCAAGGTGTAGGAGGCGTTTTTTTTTGTTGATTGCCGGTTGTGCACTGCTGTGCGTCATCAGATACAACACGTTGAAGTTGTCGTTTTTTTAGTAGAATGGTCTTTGTGATTTTTTTTCATGCTTTGTATCTGCTGCTGTTAAAAATAGCAAACATTTGTTGGGATATGTGCTTCTACAGATTTTTTCTTGGATCAGCATCTTCTCTCTATGCACCACGTTTGACCGCCGCAAGCTCTGAGCCATTATTTTTTTCTCATCATCTCGTCACATCCTTGCGAATGCCGTCGCGCCCCCCTGACACCAGGCGCTCGTCTACAAGTTCGGCACGTTGCGGCACTACATGCCCCTGGTCGAGGGAGCGGAGCGAGCGAGAATCCGCCACGCCAAGGACATCGAGGCCGGCGCCGGCCCCAAGCTGGCGACGGAGAACCTCCGCGAGTCGGGGGTACCCGTCGCCGCCACCGCCGCCGCCGCCGCCGCCGGTGCTGCCGCTCTACCCCTGGCTCCGAGTCCTACGGGGATCAAGGCAATACCGACTGCTACTGCGGCGGCGGGTTCTGCTGCTGCTGCTGCTGCTGCTACCCCCGCCGCCGCTGCGGTGGCCGCTAGGCAAGCAACAACCACCGCCGCCGCCGCCGCCGCCGCCGGTGTCAAAGCGGCGGCAACGGCAACGGCGGCGGCGGCAGCGCGGGGGACCGGAGGCGGAGGACCGGAGGCCATGGAGGTGGACGTGGAGAGTACGGGCGGCGGGGGCGGGGCCGGGGCCGGGGAGGAGCAGGTGAACGTTGAAGACGATGTCGACATCGAGGTGGGAGCGGAGGGCGGCGGCGGCGGCGGCGGCCGCACGAAGGATGCCGGCCCCGCTGGGTCTTCTTCTACCGCCGGCTCTGCTGCTGCCTCGGCGGCGGCTGCCCCGGCAAGCGCTATGGAGGTTGATCGTACATCGACCAGCACTCCTGCGACAGCGGCGGCGGCG